CCGGGACCCCGGCCCTTTTCCCTCCACTCCCCGCCTCCTGGCTGTCCTTCGGGCGCGGGAATGCGGGCTCCAGGGCGGTGCCCTGCTGTGCTCATCCTTCAGACGCCCAGTGTCCCAGGACAGGCTTTCTGGATGCCACCCACCCGCCCCCTCCTACCGTGCTGGCCGCTGTGCCGCTGGAGCCCAGAAAGCCCCAGACGCAGCACCCTCACCGGCCTCCTGCTCAGTGTGGCCCGGCCGATGCTCCGGAGGAAGCAGCCTGTCACCTGGGGCAGACGTCCCCAAAGCCTCGCGCCCCAGACCCCGCAAGACCCCGCCAACTCCGTTCCACGAAGCCCTGGCCCCTTTCGGAGACTGGGGATGCCAGGCAGGGTGGTCACGCAGCACCTGAGTCACACGGGTCCCCTTGGTGCTGCACACGGATCCGCAGAAGGACCAAGACTGCGTCGTCCCCCCGGCAAGGAGGAGAAATCGCCCAAAGGCCGGGCGTGCGTTTCACACAATTACGGCGGCAGAGCACATTGTCCCGCGTGACCAGCATCAGGGAAGGGGTGGCGAGAGCCGGCAGTGTCCTCTCTCCCGGGCCCTCCCACCGCCGAATTCAAAGACGGACGAGGCACGGACCCAGTGTCCGCGGTGCTGGAGGGAACGCGAGGTGTTGCAGACCCTCGGGAAAGCAGTCTGGAGGGCCCTCCCACTGCCACACGGTAACTCCGCGTTCCCTCCTCCGCAGGGAAGCGAGGAACAGGGAGACCTGTGCCCAGGCGCTCGTACAGCGCCCTTCGCGGCGGCCCACGGGGACACGAAGTGGACTCGGCCCCCGCGTCCGTCGGCGGAGGACTCCGTAAGCAACGTGGTCCCCGGGCAAGCGATGAGAAGCCGTAAGAGGGAAGGAGGTGTGACACATGCTACAACAGGGTCACGAGAGGGAGGCTGGCCCCTACGGGCCGCGTAACCGATGGCTCCCGTTATGAGAAATGCCCAGAATGGGCAAATCCACAGAAACGGAGCGAAGATTACTGGACGCACGCGGGAGAGGGATTGACACAGGGACGGGGCTTCTTTTCGGGGTGGTGGGAATCTTCCGGGACCAGCCGTTGGTGATGGGCGCCCAGCACAGAGAGTGCACCAAGAACCTTTCAAACGGCGAGCTTCGTATCGGGAGAGCTTGATTCGATAGAGAATTTAAAAGAAAAACAGGAGGGCAGAGGAGACCCGCTATAATCCAGGCGTTCGTTACTGGTCTCTGCGGAAAGACTGGCCCCATCTGCCAGGACAGCAAGGGTGCCGGGGGAGATAAGCCCGTCCAACCAGCCCCGACGAGGCAGAAGGGGGGACCGGAGCGCGGGCTCGTCCCTCTCCTGCCCTGTGGGATCACTCGCCGCCCCAGACGCCCACCCCGCGGCACCGCCCCCCAGTGGCCAACCCAGATCCTGCTGAGCCAGCGTGACCAGGTGATTAGGTCAGGTCGACGTGGCCCCTATAGATCCAGGGCGGGTCGGAGACCCACGGAAGGTCTACAGTAGACGGTATGGTCAGGCCAGCCCACGGTCACTCCGTGGCAGACGTGACCCCAGGTCTCTCAGTTCCACGTTCTTGCCATGACACACGACCTGCCCTGCCTGCTGGAGGGGAGCCCTGACCCGGGCAACGCCCCACAGACGGGGCGGGCAGAGGTGGACACCGGGTAGAAGGAGGAAAGGACAGACAAACGCCTTTCCTGCCCACGAGGAACGTGGTGCTGTGGGAGAGACAGAGGGGCCTTGCTGCTGAAGAACAGGAGACTTGGACGGCGCTGAGGGTCCCGGCAGAGGCCGTGAGAGGGGGCATCCCAGACCTGAGGGCAGCACAGTCCCCGGAGTGGCCGCAGCAGCGGGGGACCCGGAGGAAGGCGGAGTCGGGAGGCAGCTGCTGGAAGCCGGACGGGAGCTGATGGCGACCCCCCGCCCCGGCCTGTTCAGAGACGGGGCCGCGGGAGACAGGAGTCGGGGACATGTAAAGTTCATGACGCTGGCCGCACAGAGCGCCACCTGTGACCTGGACGCTGCTTGCGGGGTCTCTGAGGCGGCTCGTGTTGTCACTGTGTCACCATGTCACACGCTCCCGGCACTCAGGCCCCGCTGCCAGTGGCCGCGGGCGCCCTGCGTCGTCCGTCGGCTTCTCTGCTGGACCTTGTCCCTCAGTGTCTTCTGTTTCTAGCCTCTCCCGCCCCTGCACCCCTGCCCCGCCCCTCCCTCTCTCGTTACAACACAGAACGCGGTTCCGCCAGGGAGGGGAGACCCTCACGGAGCCGAGTTCTCTGCACCCCACCCCCCACCCGTCCTCTCTTCCCGTCACTCAGTCACATGCTCCGCAGAGGCCATCGTGACCTTCAGGTGGCCCAAACCAGTGGCTGCTCCCCACCCCCATCTCACTGGACACAGTCCACACTCTCTCCTTCTAGAAACGGAGGGAAATCGCACGAGGGTGTCCCTGAGTTCAGACCTAGAGCCCAAGGGGAGGCGGGGGGTGGGGCTGGTCTTCCTGGGAGCACGCGCAGTCCGTCCCTGTCCCAGGCGAGAAGGCAGGTGTGCACGTGAGGGGCGGCGGGACAGTGGGGCCCTGGGAAGTTCTCTTCCGGTGCCTGTGACGTTTCCTCGTGGACGTAGGGGTGGAGGACATTCGCTGAGAGAGCCCAGGGGGCGGAGGCGACTGAGACACAGAAGGTATGAAATAGCGACTACGCGCACAGGAGAGCGAAAGGGCAGGGGGCTTCTGTGTGGTCGCCAGGCGGCGGACGAGCCCAGCTGCCCTGCCCTCATAGACGACCCCTCGCGCCGGGCAGTCACCTAGCTCTGCCCTGCTACCTGCTGGCCTCCTCGGAGCCCTCGTCGTCTCTGCCAACGGGGCCGGGACTGCCCCGCGGGCCACCACCGCCTCCCGAGCTCCAGCTCTGGCTCCGGCGTGTCGAGGACAAGCCCACCGCTAACTAGCGGGCGAAAGAACCCGCCGGGCCCACGGGTCCTGGGTCGCTGACCAGGCTGAGGGTCCGGCTGCGTGCGGCGTGTCCGCGCTCTGCCCTGTCCCCCCCGGGGCCCCTCACCACCTCCACGCACACGGCCGCTGCCCCTCTGCATCCCCAATGTTCCAGGCTGTCAGAGCGATGCCCTCACCGGGGACCTGCGCCCTCGGGTATCTGCTGACGTGCAGAGGCAGAAACACAACCTGCTCTCTTGAACTATCAGCTGAGAGAGAGAGAGAGAGAGAAAACGGGGGGAGGGGCAGAGAGAGAAGAGAGAGGATGCCAAGCAGGGTCCGTGTTCAGCATGGAGCCTGACATAGGGCTCGATCCCACGACCCTGGGATCAAGACCTGAGCTGAAATCAAGAATCAGACTCTTCACCGACTGAGCCATCCCAGGCGGCCCTCAAAGATTTTTCTGTAAAAGGAACGTTTTAAGTGTTGAACACAAAGTAAACTCAGGAGGCTGCCAGGCTCGACCCCCAAGTTCAGGGAAGCTCTTACCTTTTAATTTTTAAGGTTGTTTTTTAATGTTTATTTCTGAGAGAGAGACAGAGCACAAGCAGGAGAGGGGCAGAGAGAGGGAGACACCGAATCTGAAACAGACTCCAGGCTCAGACCTGTCAGCACAGAGCCCGACGCGGGGCTCGAACCCACAAACCGTAAGATCATGACCTGAGCCGAAGTCAGATGCATAACCAGCTGAGCCACCCAGGTGCCCCCCAATTTTTTTTCTTAACATTTATTTATTTTTGAGAGACAGAGAGA